TACATAGATGGACACTGTATATGTTGTTGAATACTATGCATATAAGCGAAAAAGGGATAAAATAAAAGCTCCATCAAACGTATAATCAAGAAAACGACTGAATAAGTGCTCGAACAAAAATCAACGAGGACAATTATCAGAACACCCGTCCGTGCCGAAAATGTACATCCCATATTGTGGTCTCATTTGATCTTTTTATCATCCTGATATATATGTACCCATCTTTCTGACATGGCAGGGTTTTTCGCGTGGCATGTTTTACCGTGCTTGCGTGAGAATATGAACTGAGCGAAATAAATTTTCCGCACGAATATAATATTCGGCATGCTCCTATATGTGATTGTAACTTATTGTGAACAATTTATGAGCTATTGACGCGTTATTGAATCGATCATCGCTTTGTGTCAAGGGTTTGTTTCAGTAAATTATTGTTGCGTGTGTGTGCTTCAAAAACAACCTATACTGTTATGTATAGATGAAGTCCTCAGAAAAACATTTCAACACTGGAAATATGAATTTGTCGGACGCAAATTTTTTCTTAGATTTCGTCTTCCACACCTGCATGTCCTCTTTATTTTCCTTTTAATCCTTAACGCATTCAAGTAGGACACTCTCATAATAATCAGTAGTTCATTCCTCCTCATACGATTTTTACCTCGAGTAATGGCCAATATATACGCTGCATGATGGGCATGACATGTATGGAGAAAAGATACCATTTATTGGAGAAGTACTGCATGAATAGAGAGTGAAGTACAGTAGATACAGAAGATATCATGCAACAGGTGTCAGCTCACGTAAAGTGACTTCAACTGTAGAATATTAAATACGTATTGTATGTCGTCACGCCCTGGGAACCAAATTGTTTAAATTACCCAATAACGGTGGTTTTCAAACAGTTGGCTTAGTTTAAAAGGTAGGCCTTCAACGGGGGAATCATTATTGTCAGAAATGGGATTAGGATGTAAATAAGCTACAAATAAATAAGGTACATGTATTTTATCATGTTTGAAGTCGGTAGATTTGGTTTCAAAAAATAACATGCTAAGGAGAATAACATAAGGAATAAGAATTAAAAAGTTAATACAATTGAGTTTTAAAGCTTATATAGAAGGACTGGGCTGTAATATAGCCGAAGATCAGGCTCTGTGAAACTAAATATGGTTGGGAAACCTTGCCGTAGAAGAAGTGCGATCGCTATCGACGTATTTCAAGTTCTCCTTTTTATCCCAGCACTACATTCGCCATCATTGGTTCGAATTTCATGCCGTTCCCTAAATGTTCCTCTACATCATTCCGATATACACACAGGAGCTGGTCCTACAAACCCCAAAAACCAAGCGAGGAAATGAAAAAAGAAAAGCCTTCATGCAATGACAGACCACGGTTTCAGTTAACGATGTTCTCTGTATTTGGATGATATACACAAATATTATAAAAATGTATTTTCTCCCGTTTCCTCACATAGCAGCACCAATTTTTTGTGCTAAACGCCAGGAGATGATAGCGAATATGCCCTTCCCAAACCAGGGAGTCCTGAAATGTTTGATTGCGCCCAAACATATCGAATACAGTAAATGGAAAGGGTCCACCCGGAATTACTGCATCTTAGTCGATCGGTTGTGAACAGAAAATATCTTCGACTAGAATTCATCAATTTGGTGCATATACTCGAAAGAGGCCAAAGGTAACAGTGGTATTCAATTCGCGAAGTTTCTCAGAAACAAAATGAACACACCTCGTCAGGAAAAAAAAAAAAAAACTTACAAAATTAACATTAGTAACAAATGCAGGTGTCGACGTAGTAGAAGATCCTACTGGCCTTCTGAAGCGGTGATATTGCGAACACGTTTAGAAACCATCTCCTAAATAAATGATTTCTAATTCAACTACAGAGAAATCGGATCGATTTCTACAGCAATCACTATGATAAAATTTATGGATGAGGAGTACCCCAACAAACAAAACGGGGTTTCGAAACGATAACAGCTCTCCACGTCTGTCAAAATGACAAAACCCTCCAACTCCTCAAAAAACCACCGACAGAGGTTCACGTTACCGAAATATTTTGGCTCTCCTTCCACCACCTTTTCGACCGTGGTCATACGCCAGATTGCGGCAACGTCATCCCGGGTTTCAGCCTCTTGAACTGGGTTCCGTTTTGAAGATCGTACACCACGATGAACATTGCTTCATTCCCATCGATTTCCTGGGAGAAAATTCGAAGAACGCACAGGTGTGAACAGATCCTTCATCGCACTCGACTACACCTAAGAAATCCCATTTCAAGGCAAGTCTCACACAATTCAGACAGAAAACCTGTTTCCTAAAGGTTTTACATTTTCTGTTACGATAATACAAGTGGCATTGTTGTTCTTGTGTGTATTCTAACAGATACATTTTTATTACAACAGATTCATCATAACCTCATACACAGGTGAAAACGAATCCTTCATCGCACTCGACAAATCTCAGAAATCTCAATTCAAGTAAATTCTCACAATTCAAACCTGTTTCCCAAAGGTTATACAGCAATAGAATTTATGATCGAACATGGAAGGAGCGAGTCCACAAAATACAAAAAATCAAGGAGGAAAATCTGGCGAGCCTTAATCACGAAATACTGCAGTTCACCAGCTTCAAATTCGATCGTTTCTTCGTCCGCGAAATTGTCATGAAGCATGAAGATATCTTATTTCTCTAATGAATTAAATCCCTCATCATAATTCAGTAAAACTGAACAGAAAAGCTCTCTCGAAAATTACTCAGAGATTATTTTGTGCCAGTCTAAGTTGAAAAATTCATCGGGCCCTTCGCACCTAGTTCGTCATGATACAGATATTGTACAGTATTGTACTTACAATATTAATTCTGGCTCTTCTGACACTTTCTCTTATTGTTGTTTTTTTTTTTCATTACAACAGAGAATTCGAACTCGTTCTTCCGTTACCCTTATTAAAACACTAAAACTCACTTTAAGGAAAACAGGTCAGGGCAATGTGTAAGCCATCAGAATTATCAACACTACACCGATTTTCTCTCTAGATTTTTTGGTTTTTTGAAAGACTCTCCAAAATGGTGTTTGAAATTTTAGGTACAAATTATAAATGTGAATTTTAGCTTCACGCCTTTCTCACCTCACATGCACATGCGACGTAATGCCCTTCCTTCGTGATCGCCATGAGATGCGTCAAGAATTCATGGTGTGGGATGCGGAGATCAAACACTAACTTCCTTTTCTCAAGGTCCCAAACAAGCAAAGGAAACGGCTTCTGAGTTTCATCTCCACAAACGCAGATCTTCCCGTTTTCCGATACAACCAACGAATTCAAGAACCGATCCTCTCCCACTTTAAACGTGGAAATGCAGTCTCCGGACTCCATGTTGATCAAGTTGAGATACATGCGGTTTCGTGCAAGAGTTATTAGATGATACTCGTCCACCAAAGCAAAAAGCGGCAATTTCTGATTCATAATGCCTTTCAATTTCAACTCCATTTTGCCTTCCGCAAGATCAATGAGAATCAGCTCCCGGCCGCAGAGACAAATTGCTTTTCGTTTTCCTGGCAAAAGCTGGAGGATTTTCGGCTCTTGCAAATCCCGCATCCTTTGAACGCAAGTGTTTTTGATGCAGTTCCACACGGCCAGTTTTCCAGCGGTCGACGACAATGAGATCACACAGTACTGTAGCAAAGATTACTCAATAGTGTGATATCAACTTCTCATCTTTTTAAATTCAGGCAATTCTTCCAATTTTCATGATTTTTCTATCATTCAGGAAAAAATTAAGACACAGTACTGTACTACATCATATGACTTGAGTGACTAACTGGATGAACATGCTGTAAAAATTTTGGCTGGGATACATTTGGTTTTTTCAGTGAATTTCTGTCACTTAGAAAAACAGTTCTGTGCATTGCATACAGTAATTTCAATTCTGTCATCTCATAGTATCATAATAGAGATGTTGAGATGGCTGATCTGAAATGAAGTCCCTCAAATTCAAAGGCGTTTACTTGATTGATGGATTAATATTTAAACATTGTTCTAAGAATTTGTGGAGTAGTGGTTTCTATGGTAGAAAAAATTTGCATGCTTCCTGCTGCAGAAGTTTATTTCAAGAAATTAGTATTTAGATGATCTGCAGATTGGTCAGAATGAGGTGCAATATGAAAACCTCTCTCCAGCCCTTTTCTGTGCAGATTTGTGATGAAGGGATGGATTGCAGAGTTTGACGTTCCAGGAATTGATTAACAATTGAAACACAATTCAAAATTCCAAAGCAAATGAATTTATTGGTAGAAACAATCACAATTTTAGACCATTAGTTAAAAATACTTGCAATTAAAAAACAAATTTCAAGACATCCAGTGGGATAGGGCATCAGCTCTTGCGCTGCTTTTGATCTCTTCTCGCAACAAGCGCAATTGACGTTGTATCCCATCCTGAAAAAAATACACAAAAGTTGAATTACTTTTCAGAGAAAATTTAGAAATGAAATACTGTACCTCCAATCTGCTCATCTGTTGTTCAGAATCCTGCTTCAACTGAGCAATCATACGCTCCATAGATTTCGAATGACTGCGCAATTGTAGAAAGACAGTTCTTGCAACGATTTCTTCAAATGCAAGCATTGTGTCTTCGTTACCAATCCCCGATGGTTGTTGCTCAGTTCTTGAAGCAAAATATTCTGCCAAACACTCGTGCACAATGCTTTTAATTGCTCCGAGATCCAATGAGGCTTCTTGTGGCTTTTCTGGAGAAGGAACAGCAGCTTCCTCAATTGACTCATCCTGCACAACTGATGCATTCCGATATGGGGTATGGTGTTTCATTATGTCCACAGTGCTTAAAATGGGTAAACAAGTAGGACTGTTCACAGTGACAACAGGACTTTTGGAAACTTCTTTCAGTGGTGTAACACTTCTAACTGGCGGAGAATTTTCCTTTGAACTTGACCGATCTCGAATCCTTGCCGAAGATTCCTGAAAGCTGATGCGTTGTGGAGTTGAAATATGCGCTTCTGTATCAAATATGCAACAGAGTGAAATTAACAAATGTACTCGAAAAGAAACTGGGAAAACACAGAGCTCACCTTTTTGACTGCTTGCAAAAACAGAAAATGGAAGAAGATCTACAGCATTCACTTGTCCAGGAAGAGCATCAGCAAATGTCCACTTGGCTTCTTTCATTGCAGATCCCAGAGTTTCACATTCCCAGATTTAAATCCAACCAGCAAAGAACGAGATTTCAGTGGAGTAAAGGAAATTGTTGACACAGGTTCACCGCACTTGATCCTAGCAATCACCCTGAAAAAAAAAAAGAAGAGATTATACCATAATCACATACTGTACAGTCAAACCTCGGTTTAACGGGGTTAGCAGTCTAAAGAGGTTGTTGGTTATCAGAAAAGTTGAAATAGTATGAAAATTGAGTATAGTAGGAAATGAAATTCTCAAAAACAATCAAATTAACCTTGGGATGAGCAAATTATCTAGCTGATGTTCTCAAAATATGAAGTATATCACCCTTGTTTTAGTGTTTAGTAATTTTTTTTATTGGAGACCTCTCACAAAAACTTAGGTAGCACCAATTACGTGCACATCTCGGGGCCCAGTTATATTTAACCCAAAAAAATAAATTACCAGAAGAGGTTCTTCTGCTACATGCTCTTTTGTCACATTGAGTTCAGTATTTTGATCGCCCTACCACATAATTCACAATTTTTTGGAATCAAACTCACTTCCCAACATCAAGCCCAATGACTTGAACTGACGAATGGTGGCTGCTACTTGCGCAAAGAATGTTGGACTCGGGGTTGAAAGAGAACTTCCGAGGACCGTGTTTTTGTGAATCGGCTTTCAATTTCAAAACACGTTTCTTGGCGAATAGGTCCCAAATACACACGTAACCCGAAGTGAAAGAAGCCCCAACAAGATTAGGTTCCATGTAACTTGCTCTCATGTCGGAGAGTTCCTAATGTCAGAAGGGAGTCTCGAGTGAACTCGCGGAGCATGAACGAGAAAACACTGTACAGTACTTCAAATGGATCATAAAGATGTTGATCGGGGTTGTTCCAGTTTCGAGGGCCATGGATATTTATCCCGAATCCTTTGCTTCCAACGGCAATGTGTCCGGTTTCATTGAGAGCAGCAACTGACACTATCTCATCTATGCAACTCTAGAAAAATCTCTGTATTAATTAATAGAAAAATAAGAAAAAGTACCGTGCAAGTCTTACTGGTGTTGCTCTTGTAGACTTTTTTGTATCAGCATCAACGATGAGCGCCGTGCGATTTTGCCTTCCTACCACAAGTTTCGAAGATACGTCAGAGCGGAAAACATCCACGCATCTGCTAGACTTTTTAAAAATGGGCTGAGTGAAAATCTGCTTTAAATGTAAGTTCCTAAAACAGATGACTTACAACACTGGTGAAATCGTCCACTGTAGGAATAGTGGAAGTTTCATCAATTCGACACAGCTTCAAATTGATGCCACTGGTCGGAATTATTGCCGCAAATTTGCCAGATTGATGAGCGCGGACATCCTTCACTTCACTTTCTATACATGAAACACAGAAGTAATTCTTACTCCATAATTCGTTGTGAAGGATGTACAGTAATACTTACCGCTGCAGCAATGATATTTTTCCAGGAAATCAGCACCCCCAGTTGTTCCTTCGAGAACTTTCGCACCCCCAACCCCCGCAACCCACAAAGTTACCGGGACGTCAGAAAATGAGTTCATCCTGCATCATATTGCAAAAAATAAACTTCAAATCGACTACCCGGTTTCAACTGTCATCATCCCGCGTAACCTGCTGCGAGTCAGTAACACAGACTAGGGCATCCACTCGATAATTCATCATTGAAAATCAGAAGATTAACACCTGCAACCGCAGTAGAAATGTCCGGGTGGCTTGCATATGACTCCGGAGCAGTCATTTTTAACTTCAAGTGGCTTTCAGAGGTTCGACTGGGTATCATACGAGCTTCAGGAACTTCCTGAAACCCAAGCCTCTCGGTAACTCACATCACTGTAGCCGATTCGCGGCGCGCGTGAATTTAACTTGTAGACACCCGCCAAGAACGCGCGTGAATTTGAATTGTAGACACCCGCCAAGAATCTCTATCATTTCCGAGGACGCCGCCATTTTAAACCGCTGCCGCCCTCTATCCGTCGAATGTTGTTGTACCTTTCCTCCCCTTCAATCCTGATGTCTTGCAACATACAGTGCTGTACTGTACACCGGTACAATACTTAACTTCTGCTACAGGGTTCCCGGCTGAAGTAGCGTTTTTCTTCCACTTTTCTGAGAAGGGAAATAGGCGTGGTTGTGCCGAGCTTTCTACAATACTCGACGACTGGCTGGCTTAATCAGATGGGAGAAATACTTCAATGTGCATTCGGAGAACAGCCTTACCTGAGTGGAGGTGACCAGTTATCCTAGGCTTCCAGATTCACGAAGTACTGTTGTAAATGGGGATTTTTATTTCGGGGCAATTAGACACCGGGGGGAATAAACGTCGGGGATTTTAAGAATCCGGGATTTTAGGATCGGGGATTTTAGAGCGGGGGGGAATAGCGGCGGGGGAATTAGAATCGGGGGAATTGTCCGTTTCCCAACTTGTAGACACCCGCCAAGAATCTCTGTCATTTCCGAGGACGCCGCCATTTCCAACCGCTGCCGCCCTCTATCCGTCGAATGTTGTTGTACCTTTCCTCCCCTTCAAGGCTGACGTCTTGCAACATACAGTACTGTACTGTACACCGGTACAATACTTAACTTCTCCTGCTACAGGGTTCCCGGCTGAAGTAGCGTTTTTCTTCTATTTTTCTGAGAAGGGAAAGAGGCGTGGTTGTGCCCAGCGGCTACGATTGCATGCATGAATTGAGTTGGAGGAACGGAAGGATAATTGAGCATACTGTAGTACCAAGTGTTCGCGTTTCTCAGGGACTTTTACGGGTTCCTTCGATAGCTCAGTTGGTAGAGCGGTGGACTGTAGAGGAAGCAAATGCTGTAATCCATAGGTCGCTGGTTCAAATCCGGCTCGAAGGATAATATTTTTGGAATTGGCCCGATTCCCGAAAGAGTTCTTTTTGTAAATGAATAGAAGTGTTGGTTTTTCTGTTGCGATTGAACAAGAAACTCATGACGCGTGAGAATTTACAATCACACCTATATTTAATTGCTGAAGTCTGGACGACTGCCGAAAGAACGTATATAATATCACGAGGGGACTCTTTCTTCAACAAAATTCAGGGGACCATCAGAAGAAATTCGTTTTACTTAGAACTTCATTGTTGAGAACCCCTATTCGCCTATTGGACCAAAAGAAAATTCTTGAAGACAAGATCGTTGCATACAGAGAGGCCATGTGTATATATGCCACCCAATTGAGTGTTAGACAACTGATCATCAGCGTAATGGGCTTAAATTTCCATTTCAACGACAGTTGCAGTACGTATTACCAAAATGAAAAAAAAAATAAGACGCAGAGTTTAAAAATGCTACCATTCTCATCACACATTCACTTGAAAACATGACGTATTTTCTCTGGAATAAGATGCAATGAAATAACCTATTTTCTGTGATTTAAGGAAGGCTCTAAAGACAACAAAGGTTTTTTTATATTTTTTTCAGCACGATTGCGGAAAAGTTCTTGAGGTGGTGCAAAAAAATATGCATCGATTCAAGTGATTCAAATCGTATGATGGACGTACAGTAGTACAGTAATTACAATTTTATACCATCGACGATGCTTCGAACATTTCAATTGCGTGATGCGGAAGATTTAAATTTCAGAAGTGATGCTGTATTCCTTTCTCAGTACATGAATTTTGACAGCCAATCCAAACATATGGTCATTTCCGCTTTGACTACGGAGAAATAACATTTTCTGATGGAAATCAAAGCAAATGAAAAATCGAACGAAGGATAATTATCAGTCGAAAGATAATTTAGCGGGAAGAATCTTACATTTGACAAATAATTTTCTAAAAGTTAATCCAATTTCCTTTCAAACTCAAGCAGTGCTCGTCAGTTCTTTTCGTTTACACAGACGGAAATTACCTCCAGCTATTGATGAGGAAATATCAAAACAGAACTAACTCGGAAATCCCTCGATGCTGGAAAAGTGAAGCCAACAATTTCCTGCTTCTCAATAATGCAGGTCTAGAAAGTACTTCAAAAGGATGGGGAATTATCAAGTTCTAGCTAATAAGCCAATCACGAGCATCCTAAAAACACGTCACGTTATCGTCTTAACACGACCAAAATCAAGAACACCAAAAACTAAATGAAAACCCTATTTTTTCATGAAACAGTTAATTAATCTTGCTGAGAAATTAATTGCCTGAAGTGTGTGTTTTCGAGAAGAGTTCTGCTGAGTTGATGTATTTGTTTGAAATGTACATTAATCTGAATTGAATATTCTATGATTTGTTGGGATAAGAGAAGCATATTCGTATCACTCACATTTAGAAATCCCACGAGGATTTCCTTCCTTGTCCCGGCCCTTTCTGATAACCTAGTTTTTTTTATTCTGAGCCGCTTTATTCTATAAATTAGATCCTCTGAAATTTCTCATCTTTCATCATGTGGTGATTTATCCCTCGACATCAACTTGGAACTAAATCAGAAGTCCCTTGATGAAAAGTGAAGCAGCTTCTGGATTTGTAAGAAAAAAATTCATTTATCGCTCTTATCGGGACGTTCTTGTACAGTATTTTCCTTTCTAGTTCGACGTGAACTCAGTCCAAGAAAAGAAATATAATTTTTCAAAGACTACATCATTGTATAACTTTTGTGCAGGATTTTTTAGAAATTCCAAGCATGAGGAAACCATGAGAAGTGCTCGCTCCTATTGGCTCTGAAAATAATTGTATTTCAAATTTCCTGTGCTCCACAAGAAGCAAGTGAAGCGTATACTGTATATTTTATTTCTATTCCCAATCGAATCCACGTGAAAGTCCAAGACCTGCTTGAAATAGAAAGCTGATTAAAAACTTCAACCACGTTCAGTGAATTGAATGACGTGAATCGCAAATACCATACTAACTCAAGTGCATTTTCAAAGACATCTCTTTGTTTATGGGAAAATCATGGCACTTCAAAGTAAACAATAGTAAATTTTTAGAGACCCCGAAATAAAGACGTATTTCGTCTACTTGAACCTCATCGTATGTTGGATCACGTTCTTTTTTTTGTAGACTTCGATGGGAACTTATTTAATTTGCACTCCAATTGATAAAAAAAATTGGGGAAAAATCCCCGAAAAATGAAATCAAAGTGTTTCTCAACTTGAAGATACGAATAAAACTATACAGAAGAAAACCACACAGAATATGACCATTTGGTATGAAAAGAACCCCGAAAAGCGAAGAAAAAGCTCAAGTTTTTGCTATGCACTGTGCACAAATGATGGAGAATACTCCGAAGAAAAGTCCAAAATTAACCTTTTTTCGATTATAAAATCGAGTAAATTCAACTCCAATTTTTCTGAGAACAAATACCTCAATTTGTTCGAGAGATATACGAACTTTGGAAAATGGACATTTTAATTTTTCTGGAAATGTTGGAATAGTGTCCTTATGTCGAGACCTTTTCGGGATGTCGAGAAGATTTTTTCCAACGTCGCATTGCCCGTGTACTGGGGCGTCTGCATGTCGGGGTCTCGCATATCCATTGGATATGCAACAGCAGAAAGTGAAGGAATGGGAAAGTATCCATCTAATTTAGATAGCTGACATATCTTATGAACATTTTAACTGCTCCAGTAAAAAAAAATCAGAAAACAAAGGGTAAAATGAGAAAGACAGAATATCAATGGGGAAAAATGGTTTCACACGCGAAAAGATTTTGCAATTCTAGATCTTCAGCAACATAAAAAAAATAAAAAACACTGTGTTGTTGGTCTTACATCGGAATCGATTTTTGGCGAATTTCTCGCCTAGAAATTTGGCTGCCTTTCTTGTGGCATTCGAGTAAGTGCAGTAACATGTAACATATCTCTTTGAAGATGGAATAAATGCTGGAAAACAAAATCCATGTCACGTCTTAT